CTTCCACTGCATGTTTTTCCCATTTTTTCAATGCATTTTGCCAACAACCCATTGATCCTTGGTTTTCGAACGTTTTGGAACAGTCTTCTGGAACGGATTACGTTCGAAAACCGAGGTTCCACTGTAGTTGCTTTCAACTGGGGAAGAACCCTCCCCCTGCCACAGAAGCTTGGATTGAATACATGTAAAATATAGTATTTATACTTATCTCACCATTCTTCTAATTTTCTCATCTTTACATTTTTAAATTCAGTTCTCCACATTTGCATATCAGCTGGCAATTTATTTCTGGTTTGCTTTTTTGTTTTAAAAAAAGCCTTCATGAAAATTCATCATCATTTTTGTGCAAATTTCCATGAACAATGAACAAATGCATTGCTACCTCCCCCTCCCCCCTGGGCTTTAAATTGCTCTTATATATTGCATTTTACCTTCTCAAGTTGCACTGAGACTTTTTACTGTGAAAAGTGACTAATAAATGTATATGGTGTGGTGTTTGGATTTGATATCCCGCCTTTCACTCCCTTTAAGGAGTCTCAAAGCGGCTAACATTCTCCTTTCCCTTCCTCCCCCACAACAAACACTCTGTGAGGTGAGTGAGGCTGAGAGACTTCAAAGAAGTGTGACTGGCCCAAGGTCACCCAGCAGCTGCATGTGGAGGAGCGGAGACGCGAACCCGGTTCCCCAGATTACGAGTCTTCCGCTCTTAACCACTACACCACACTGGCTCTCATTTTTTGTTTTTTGTTATATTTTTTGTTTGACATGCTCACTATCATGAACATTTTTTAAAGGCACACTTTATCCTAGTATATGCATTTTTTTAAAAATAAATCACTTGGCTGGAAAACTCCACAGCAAAATTAGAAGAAGCGTGCTTTTCAAAGGGTGGCTGCAAGTTGTTTGCATATTGCTTCAGGAAGTGAAAATTAAGGAGTTCTCCTTTCAGTGCAAACTGAAATGAATCTCTCCCCCACCTGTATTCATGGGGAGCAGTCTGAGGGAATGCTAGATAAGGAGTAAAAACCTAGAGCAATGTCCGTTTTAGGATGCTGATGTAAGAGCAGCACAATGTTTAGTCCAGTCTCCCATTGCACCATTTCTTTTTTTGTGTCTTTGTGTAAATGCTTTCTCTTAACTTACTATTACAGCACATACACACATGACACTTAGAAAACAAACTACAAAAGAAAACACAAAATAAATGATAAACATATATGCATAAATCCGCTAGTATCTGCACAAGGACTTATGTTATCCAATCTTTAGTTCTTATTCTATTCTAATAGACCTCCTCCTCAATGCGGGTCTGATTTTAAACTTGATAAACTGTTTCACTGCACCATTTCCAAAGGTTGCAGCAGAAGTCTTTACAATCAGCCTCAGATGTTCCACTCAGCTGGCAGGTGTCATGCAGATTATCTCATCAACTTAACCAAAGCTGCTTCCAGGACAATCAGTTTCCTTTCCTTCCCCCATATTTTTACAAGGTTGGAGACAAATAATACCTCCCCCGAGAGCTGAAAGTGATATGCAGTTGTGCACACATGGATTCTTTTCTGTGACGTGGCGGAGCAGGTCTTACAAGGCTTCTCTGAGTATTTTACAAACCTGCAGCCCTGATCTGACCTCAGGTTATAGCAGGGCAAACATAGGAATCTGCCTTATATTGAGCCAGGTGATGGGTCCACCTAGCTCAGTACTGTCTACACGGACAGGCAGCAGCTCGCTAGGTCCTTTCCAGCCCAACTTAAAAATCCAGCACTGAGGGCCTTCTGCCGGTTCCCTCCCTGTGAGAAGTGAGGTTACAGGGAACCAGACAGAGGGCCTTCTCGGTAGTGGCGCCCACCCTGTGGAACGCCCTCCCATCAGATGTCAAGGAAATAAGCAGCTATCTTATTTTCAAAAGACACCTGAAGGCAGCCCTGTTTAGGGAAGTTTTTAATATTTAATGCTGTATTGTTTTTGACACTCGATTGGGAGCTGCCCAGAGTGGCTGGAGAAACTTAGCCAGATGGGCAGGGAATAAATATATTATTATTATTATTATTATCAGAATGTCAACAGCAGTGGCCAAACATGGTCACTTGGTGCTGACAAGAGTACTGGGAATGATGGCAAATTAATGTATGGTGCAGGGCTAGGCAAAAGGAGTGTACTAGCAACTGCCCAGTGCGGCAACCTACTGAGACTGAATTCATGGAACCTAATCTAGAACATCATGGACACACACACACACACAGGGTTTATAATCTTCGTCAGTCACAGAACATAGCCGTGATGGCACCTACAATAGTACTACGCCTGTGGCTTCCCTAAGCCTGGTATAAGCCAGTGTGGTGTAGTGGTTGGAGTGTTGGACAAGGGACCTTAGAGACCTAGGCTCAAGCCCCTGTTTGGTCATGGAGCTCACTGGTCGGTGACTTTGGGCTAGTCACTGCCTCTCAGTCTAGGCTGTTGTGGAGTTTAACTGAATAGTAAAACCGTGTGCGTCACCTTGAGCTGCTTGGTGAAAAAAAGTTGCATATAAATGCAATAAATAAAAGAAACAAGAAAATAAAAAATGGCCTTCTAATCTTCACAGTCAGTGGAGCAGCATTCCTGGCTAGTGAACTTCAGATTCTGGCTCAAATCCCTAGTCTAGTAACTGGTCCAAGGGCAGCAACATAATGGTAAATTTTGAAGCTGCTTATTTTGGAGGTGCTTGCCATGATAGCTCCTATGACTATGCCCCCAAGGAGAGTCCGAAATGCAGGCAGCTCTCCCTCCCCTATCTATATATCCACACACACATACAGTATATACCGCAATACCCAATTTATTAGTATCATCATGAGTGCAATCTTATGTTTCTTTGGAGTAAATTCCACTGAACTCAGTGCTGCACAAAGCACATTAACCTTTCAACCAAATAAGGACTTTGGCAAGCTAAAAATAAAATTGTTTGCTTTTAATTAGGAATGAAAACAACCTTGCAAAGAAGTTTAATCATTTAAACCATTAGTGAGAACCAGGGACACCTTCAAAGAAAAGGAAGGGGGTATCCAACCTCTGCTTGATCATTTTTCCCCCTTTTCACTGCCTTCTTCAATGCTAAGCTGTCACAAACAAACAAAAAAACTTTCCTGTAAGACCTATTGCAGTCGTTAAGAGTCGTCAACAGGCTCATCACAGCTATCTGCCAATCATCCATTCCCACCACCCTTCTGAGTAATACCCCTCCCCACCTTCTCACTATAATAGAAGGATCTGGCAACTTCTGTTTCAGTGTATCTGAAGAAGTGTGCATGCAAACGAAAGCTCATACCAAGAACTAACTTAGTTGGTCTTTAAGGTGCTACTGGAAGGAATTTTTTTTTTGTTTTGACAAACAAACTTGAAAGCCTTGTTATCACCATATTTGGTCAACAGAGCAGGCGAGGCCCATCAGTTACCCAAGCGTTCCAGCAGAAGATGTCTTTACCCCTGCTCTGAAAAGTATCCCAGAGCTGCATTCGTATTCACCTACATCAGGGTTTTTGGGCTAGAAAGCCACTTCTGCAATCAAACAAGGAGGTGGAGTTGCGGGCGTATTGCCCCTTCCCCACAGTCGCGGGGGCTGGCTTCAGTCCCCGTGATACCTAGGGAATCCCTGCCTGCGTCATACCCCAGGCCAGCCAATCGGCTGGCTCCGGGGGCGGGGCCTTGGCCATTTAAACCTGCCGCCGCCGAGGCTCCTCCTCTTTTCCTCCGCTGCTGCAGCTGATCCAGTTTTCCCGCCCACCCCACCACCTTTTTAGGTTAGGTTTCTGACATTGCTATGAACTCCGGTTGGTCACCGTCAAGGGGCCTGGTAGGAATTTTCCCAAATGGCAGATTGGCTCCAGCCATTTGGTTTTTGCCTACCTCGTAGCAAACCGTCACAACTCTTCGATATTGACGGTTAGGCGTTGGTGGGGGTACTGTCCTATTGTTATGCAAATGAAGGGGGAAGGAGCGCCATCACCTTCCCCAAACAAGGGTAGTCCGGTAAAGGATTCCAGGGGGCGTGGCCTTGTCCTAAGCCTAGGGAGGTGTGGGCCCACGGCACGCCCCCACGCAGTGACGCCCGAGGGAGGACCTAGTTGATGTGCCTCAGCAGGACCCCTCCCTCTGGTGATTAACCCTTCCGGCCTCTAGCTGGTTAGTAGTTAGGACCAATGCCTAATCCAATACCACTCAATTCCTGTAATCAATAAAGTTGTGGCCTAATTTGACCCATTAACCTGTCCTGTGTCTTTATTTCCTCGGGGGGAGGCGGGAACTCGCCACGCAAACCACAGCCACGGGTCAAGATTCAGGCGTGCCAACTCACTAACTGGCCCTGGCTGTGACAGTCTACAAACTGGAAGCAACAATAGCAAGATCATAACCCTTCAACTCTCTTTTAGAAATTATTTTCTGTTTCTAGCCTCCGGAGGGCTATCTGCCCCAAAAAGCTATTTCCCTGCTCTCTACTATGATCAGTCCTGCATTAATGTAATTCATATAAGCTTGAGACATAAATATGTTCGTGTGTGGAATCCTTGGGGAAACCTTCAGTTGCCTAAAGCACTGGAAGAGCAGTTGTGACCTTTATCGCAAACATCCCTTGACTGTAAAGCATAGAAATCAAAGGTAAAATACATAAATAAAGCTTGCCCAATATTTTCGGTTAAAGTTCTTTCATCTGGGAAGCAGAAACCTAGGAAGATGTCTCGTGCAGAGTCAGGTTATTGGTCCATGTAGCTCTGCACTGTCTCCACTGACTGACAGTGGCTTTCTGGGTTTCAGACGAAGCACATTCCCAGTCCTACCTGGAGATTCCAAGGATTGAACCTGGGACCTTCTGCGTGCAGAGCAGATGTTCTGCCACTTGACTACTGCCTTTTCCCCAATCTAAGCTTGCCAGTGTCAGCAGAGAGCAGCCAGCTGAAAAGCCAACCCACCCGCCAATCACACCCAGCAACACAACACAGAGCAGACATGCAAACTCATTATACCTCAGGATGAATTGGTCCACGGTGATGTTGTTGGTGACTGTCACCAAAGCGCTCACAACTTCTCCTTGTCTGATGGGTTTCGCTGGCAACCAGATGATGACGTTGCTATCCAGCCACAGCTCTGTCAGCTGAGAGCTCTCCGGGGTCCTGTAGAGAGTGATGGAACCAATTCTCTGCAAGTGGGACATGGTTTCCCCTGACCCTTCCTTCCCTGGTCGGATGGCGTTCCCCTTACGGATGTCTTCCGAAGTACACTCGGTATTTTCATCTGCAGGCTGAATGGTGTAGTAAAGCTCCACTGAGCTCCCTTCGGACTGATTGGATGCTTTTTTGCGGCCGGTGACAACCGTTGCTGGGTTAAACCAGGTGGGCTGAAGTTCCAGGTCAGCCACACACAAGCCCAGGTGACCCTTCAATCTGCAGCTGCCCCGAACCTCCCGCGTTTCCCGAAAGGCAAAGACTCGCATGCAAGGCAGCTGCTCTGTCATGCGGTAGTCATCCCAATCTCTTCCCACAATGTAAAAAAGAACTTGGACTTTGGGCCTGGTCAAATAGACCTTTTCACTCATGATGTACGCTTTCAGCTTCCAATTGAATGTAAATTTGTTGGTGGATCCAAAAAAGCTTGAGGTCAGCAGCAGGTCCTGGGGCACAGCCTGTTCCACAGAGAAGGGCCCATAACTAGCATTGATCACAGGGGTCTTCTTGGCTTTGTAGGTGAAGAAGGTCTCCATCCGAGATTGCAAACTGGAGTTCCGCATGAACTCCTGGTTAGTTTCTTTGAGGAAAAACGAACTCTCGGTGCTGGAGATCTGATATCTTACAGGTAGATATGTTGGCAGAGAGGAAAACTTCTGAACATTGTCTGAGGCCCCACGGCCAATGGTCACTGTTGGCAAAGAAGGAGGCAAAAAACAAAGAACAAGATGGGTCAGATGAGACAATGCCCAGTTAGCTATTTGTGCAAGAAAGCTCCAGTTTGGTTCAGGGCCCAATTTTGTGTCCTTGATCACTCCATGCCCAACATGATCTGAGGCCTGAATGGAATTAGGGACCTTGCAACCTGCTAAGGTTGGCTGTTGTGGGGGCGGGGGGAGAGATTCTCTGTCTCCCCTCCCCACCACATGCTTCATATCCCCTCCTTGACAGATCCAGAGCACCCTGGGTGACTCTGACCCCATCCAGTGCAACCTAGAGCTGCCTCAACCCACTCTGGACAAATCCCAGATCAGCCCAATTCAGTTTGGGATCTGGGATATCTCCTGACCAGATGCAGTTATGGCTGCAAATGAAGTTTTATCAATCAGTGTCTCAGGAGTGGAGAAGTATCAGGAGTGGAGAACATCATACCCAGGGGGCCAGATGCAGACCTCAACTTTTCTCTATCTGGCCCCCTGGACTCTCTTGAGGCAACATGTTCTCTCTCCAGACCAGACCTTGCTCTGTACCCTCCTTGAATGTACCTCTTCCTTCCTGAATTTGTCCAATCTCCCATTTCAACTATCTAAGCCAGGGGTTATCATTATATCTTGTGGCAGCGGATTTGATTAAAAATGCCCTATGTGATAAATAACTTTCCTTTGTCTGAACATGAGAAGAGCCCTGCTGGATCAGATCAAAGGTCCATCTAGCTCGGCATCCTGTTTTCACAGCAGCTAACCAGATGCCTCTGGGAAGCCTGCAAGCAAGACCTGAACATAACAGCATTCTCCCCCCTTGTGATCACCACCAAATGGTATTCAGAAACATGCTGCCCCCAGTAGCATAGGTAAAACATAGCCATCGTGCTGATAGCCATTAATAACCTCCCGCTCCATAAATTAGTCTAATCCCCTTTTAAAACCATTCAAGTTGGTGGCCATTACTACACTGAGTAGGATCAAATTCCACAGTTTAGCTATGCCCCGTGTGAAGGCTCTTTCTGTTGTCTGTCCTGAATCTTTTATTATGACCCAAATCTACCATCAGGCAAATTATTATTGAGCTGAAATAAACTGGATTTACAGTGGTGCCTCGCAAGACGAAATTCAATCAATGCATTCCTATGGAATGCATTCCTATGGAAACCGCCTTCAGACCAGGTCCGGGGACAGTCTGTCCCCCGACCTCTTCTGAAGGCTGGGGGGGGGGGGGGGACAAGGGGTTTTCTTCCCACCGCCAGCCTTCAGAAGGCTGTTCTGAAGGCTGGCAGTGGGAAGAAAAGCCCTTCTCCCCACCTCCCGCCCCGCAAGCTCCGGGGACAGGAGGGCTTTGCTGCTGACCGCCAGCATTTTGCCCTGGGACAGCGGAGAAGTCTCCGCTGTCCCGGGAAGGCAGGCGGGGGGGAGCAAAGACTTTTGCCCCCCGCTGGCCTTCAGAAGAGGTCCAGGACCTCTTCTGAAGGCCGGCGGTGGGCGAAAGTCTTTGCTCCCGACGGCCAGCATTTTAAAAGCGGTCCGGGATAGCGGGAAAGCGCAGCGCAATTCCCTGCTATCCCGGACCGCTTTTAAAATGCTGGCGGTGGGGAGCAAAGCCTTTTGGCCCCCGCCGGCCTTCCTGAACCTCTTCTGAAGGCCGGAGGGGGGCGAAAGGCTTTGCTCCCCACCACCAGCATTTAAAAGAGGTCCCCGGAGATTTCCCTATGGGCTTTCTTATTGCGAAGCAAGCCCATAGGGAAATTCGTCTTGCGGAATGACTCAAAAACAGAAAACTCTTTCGTCTTGCGAGTTTTTCGTTTTGCGAGGCATTCGTCTTGCGAGGCACCACTGTATCATAGTCTTGCATCTTGGAGCATGGTTGCTATTATCATCATCATCATACCTTTTATTGGCATCACATACAAACATCACATGGGACGCAGGTGGCGCTGTGGGTTAAAGCCTCAGCACCTAGGACTTGCCGATCGAAAGGTCGGCGGTTCGAATCCCTGCGGCGGGGTGCGCTCCTGTCGTTCGGTCCCAGCGCCTGCCAACCTAGCAGTTCGAAAGCACCCCCGGGTGCAAGTAGATAAATAGGGACCGCTTACTAGCGGGAAGGTAAACGGTGTTTCCGTGTGCGGCTCTGGCTCGCCAGAGCAGCGATGTCACGCTGGCCACGTGACCCGGAAGTGTCTCCGGACAGCACTGGCTCCCGGCCTATAGAGTGAGATGAGCGCACAACCCTAGAGTCTGGCAAGACTGGCCCGTACGGGCAGGGGTACCTTTACCTTTTTACAAACATCACATATCCCTTCTGCCCATAAGGTCTTCAACGCCAAAATTATAGCTCAATTGCTCTATGGTATTCCAGTCTGGCTGCCAGGGTTTACCCAGTTGGTAGAACGAGTGCAGGCAGCTTTCCTCTTCAAGATTATTTACTGTCCCACCCCTGTGTACCCTATGCAGCCTTGTGTCTAGAGGGAGGTCAACACAAGGTAGAGACTGTAGCCTGGTTGCTATTAGAGACTAGCAATGCTGGGAGCTTGCAGAGGCCCAGAGAGCTGAAAGGATCTCACTTGTACTGGTTGGGGCAGGGTGGCACTGCTCCCCTGCCCCCCCCATCCCCATTGTCACAGTGACAGACCAGAGGAAGAGAGGAAGAAGCAAAGGGCAGCATAGTGCAAACACACCGGCAAGGCAAATGCGGCACTCCTGCTGGTGTGTTTAAACCTTGCCAGTCTTGCTGCCAACTCATCCCTCCTTCTCACCTTCCTAGCACACCACAGTGATGGCAGTGACAGAACATAGGAAGCTGTCATTTCATTGGTCCATCTTGGCTCTCTAGAGTTCCCGGAAGAGAGTTTTCCCCAGCTCTACCTGGAGATGCCAGGGATTGAACCTGCAAAAAAATCTGCAAAGCAGATGTTCTACCACTGAGTCATGGCTCAGATATGGATCTTGACATCTCAGGTTTAGTTTTGCTCATTTTTTGCATTCTTTCTTTTTTAAAGAGAAGATTTTAGCTGTTTAATAACCCGCTAAAACTTAATTTGATGATTTACAGGTTGCAAATTCTCAGTTCCGCCGCCATTGAAAAGACAGCCAGATTCATCAATATTCTACCAAGGCACTGCAACACAAACGCATCAGCACCCGCCTGCCTTTGTACAAGCACAGAACTAGGTAGGATGCTAGCAAGTGAAAAGCAATAAAGGGAGATACTTTCTTCTGATGAGGCAGGGATAGGAAAATAGCAATGAGTGCCACAACTCCAGAATGTTAATTTAAGGTGATGGACCTTCATATTTAATTCATGTTGGAGAGATAGGTGGCAGGATTTGTTCCTTCCAAATGAGCAAACTGCCATTAAGAGCCAGAAAATGCAATAGGAAATAGTAATAGCAATCAAACAAGAATAGAATATATATTTTGATTTTGCTAGACATGGGGAGCTGGGGGGGGGGTGTGCTGAAATTTACACACCCGTCCCCAGCAACCATTGGACACCTTAATCAGCAACCTCTCTTGGCTTCTGGGATTTGAGTAAACAATGCCCACACAATTTCTAGCATTTCGTCACAGACATAAGGACTATGATTATTTTTTTATTTAAAAGAAACTGAATGGTAAAGCCTACATCCTCAGGAATTTGAATCCTGAACCCAGCACCTCCATGACACCACCACCTTCACAAAAAGCAACAACAACACACCCCTAAGGATAGGATTCAAAACAATCCATGTCCACCTCCAATTTAAAAATCCAAAGTTCTAGCCATCAGGTTCCAATGGAAACACAAAGGCTTCTATAGCTCTCCCTTTGTCAGAGGCCCAATGTCCAGCCTGAGGATGCTGAAGTTGTAGTGGTTTACCACACAGGGCAGGCACATAAAAAGCCAAAGGTTCCTGACAGTAGATATTCTTGACAGTTAATCAGACCTTTTCATTTAAAGGCTTAGGCACAGCATGATCCTTACTTAACCCTGATTGCACAGAGGTCACGGATGAGATATCAAGCAGGGCCCAGACAGAGCCATGAAGTCTAAGCATCCTGAAGACCTTTTTATTAAATTCCTCTGGGCTAGACTCTAATATCTTGGTTGGGTGCTTATTACCGGCCCGCTGCCGTGAAGCGAAAATTGCAACCCCTGTAATAAAGGGGATTTTCTATTTTCACCCTCCCCTGCAGGGATGCTTCGCCATCCATCGATGTTTCGGGAGCCTTTACTGACACAGATCAAATGCTGGAAATCTGTGGACAAAGCCACATGAGCCCTTTGTGCTGAAATAAGCTCAACACAAAGGTAACCCAAATGCAGTGACCAAAATAGTTTTGTTGGGGTGTGTGGGAAGGTGGGATTAAATGTGCCTACAGAGATATGACGGCATTCTGAAATGTAGTCCACTTGCAAGTTCCAATGGATAGAAGCCAGTTAATTCCTACTCACGGTAGACCTGATAAAATTAATTGAGCTAAGTTAGTTGTGCCCATTACTTTCAATAAGTCTGCCCTGAGTAGAAGTAGCATTGAAGGCCACCCAATGTTTCCAATGAATTTGAAAGGTGTCATTGTAACCCAACCTTGTGACAATTCTGGTGAGAGGAGCTTTTTTTTCAGTAGTAGTGTCCTAATCTCCCCCAAGGACTTAGAAATCAAACTGTTACCATGACTGGAGGTCATGGTTTATTGGTGAATCCAGTATAGTCTCCCAGCATAGATCTATAGGCTGCAAACAGGCAAATCAAGGCAGAGTATAATGAACATGGCCAGGCTTTAGCTAAGACATTGATCCAAGTTTCCTAAACCAGACAGATGGGAAGTTGCCTGCTCCTGAAGGGGTTACACTCCCTCTGAAGGAATGGGTACACATTTTGGGGGTACTTCTGGACCCATTACTGCTGCTTAAGGCTCAGGTGGCCACAGTGGCACAGAGTGACTTCAACCAGTTTTGGCTGGTGGCCCAGCTGCACCCCTCTCTAGACAGGGATAGCCT